CTGTCTTGTGAACTACCGCCAACCTAGTAAAACATTTAACATTATATCAACATCAGAAGCCTGCCACGTCATCAATACTTAAGGCCAACATTATATTCACTGATGCGTCGTTTGTAAATAGTATAATCATCCAGCGAAAATGTTTAAAATACTATTTGAATTCTACGTCAAATCAACATTACAATGTATTTCTGTGTTGACTCTACAAATAACCTAAAATTCATATTTCAACAGATTTGTTCATTAACGATCAACGTCACAACCAAGTATCAACCTCGGTCATGTTTAGAGTTAGGACATTCAAACAGAACAGGACTTGCTTACTTACAAAGGAAAGCGTATCAACACATTTTCTTTCCAAAGACAAATGACAAGATAGTCATGCATTCTGAACAAGTACCGAATGTCAGCTTATAATAATGTAAGGATACGAACCTTCCTCGTTTGTTTTGGATTTCTGAATTGTTGACTCGTGTATCCTAGTTTCTTAATACCATTCTAAGTACTGTTGGATTTGCTGTCTTATTATGATACTATTTATTCGAGAAATGAATATTTTGTTTACAACCTCAGATTCCATGCAAATAAAGACTCCGTCTTTTATAAATGAGGATTAGAATTCAAACTTGCCTACAACGTACTGTAAGATCAGATTTTTTTCTGCTTTAGCGGAGCTTAAATTTCTTAGATTTTTAATAGGATATCATATCGTGAACATCTGACGTCAAAGGTATATAGTTCCCAGAGGTTCACTAGTATCTATATCAATTGATTGGAAGATGTAAGGATTCAAGGATGAAGAGTTCCTACGAAATCAACAAAAATTAAATCCTTCACGAAAATTGATGATCTTACAGTTGTTCAATGAAATGAGAATTTGTCGTGGATTTCTTTGTAGAAATCTCATTTGTCGACGTCATTATTACTTGTACACACATGTACATCTCAGCTGAAACGGAGTTGTCTTTCTTCTATCAGTCATGTGTAGTACTTGGAAATCCAACACTTTTACACAAACTACCCTCGTTATGGGTGGAAATGAAGATTTTGAATTTCCTAGTAGTGAAATGCCGAAAGCTTTTGTGACAGTAACTACATGCACGCTTACTTGTATGCCTGCAATCTATCAAAATGCACATTGTAGATGCATTTATTTAGTTTTTTCTCAATCTAGGCAAACAGATTCATGACAGGTCCTAGACGAACGAATCAGTTTTTGACTGTTCTTTTTCTTATGTTACAGATATATTTGTATTAAAAGGTGCTATTCACGTAGACGTTTCTTCAACAGTTTTTGACTTTATTAAAAAAAATTGTTCCGGTTTCCTGCCATAATGTAGATATGTCCAGGCATTTCATTACGGTCGTTTGTTTTATATAATTTTTAGTTTTTAAAGGTGATATTTTCTGCTTTCCCAACCTTAGGTGTAACTTGGTTCAATGGTTTGATTGTAATATCACGACTTTCGTGTAAGATGACGACAACTGACATATTCCTAACACATGATTGGGAGAGATGTAGGTTGATGTTGATGATGAGAGGGTTGCTGGTCGACAGAGTGGTCTCATTAGGAATTGCTCTATTTCCTTGTTTGATATGAAGTTGGACGTGTTTGATACATTTCAGCTATGCCTGGTTATTCCGTTGTACTTAACATTATTCTCATTTGGGAACGATATATTACTTACCTGGAATGACAAATGCTTAACCTTCCCGAACACCTGGTCTTATTCTCCTTATACGTCTCTACGTGTTTCTGTATAAGTTTTTTCTGTCTTTTTTAATATGTTGCCATAGTTTCACTGAACTTTAGTTTAAATTTAGATGATGTTGACATGCCGATGTTCTCTCTTGTTGTTTCCGTTAGATGCTTGAATTTGAAAAAAAATAAAACATTGAAAATACCGACATGTCAACGCAATCTTAATTCAAAATCAAATTTTATGAAACTAGGACAAAATATAAACAAAACTGAGAGATTTACATGGGACACCTTAAAAACTTCCAGGAGAATAAGACCAGGTGTTGCGGAAGATTAAGCGAATTCTGCTTCGACAACCGCCTTGTAAGTCTTGGTCAATCAAAGCATGTTATGCCACGTGCACAAATTAGAACCAGGTAAATTTTGATCTATGCTTTTTTTATCTAGTTTATGAGTTGATACCTTGGTAAGTAGTTTCCTGGAAATATAATTTGTTTTGAGTGGTATGTATTTTATAAAGGTTTACCAGTTTATATTTGTTTGAGCATATATACGTAAATGACACAGGGTTCCAACGTTAGATTTGTCGTACTTGAGCTTCTAATTTCATCCGACAGAAAATCAAGAACTGAAGTCTCATGCATTAGATGATAATGCATTACATGGTTTGATTTGGGATTATACAACACCAAGGAAGTTTTAGTATAACCCATATGGTATTGATTAGGATTGTGTCCTATACATAGCCGTTGTGTGGATTATTCTACATGCATGCCACGTTTTGATGTATTGGAATGATGGCACAGCTTAGAATAAATACTTGAATGCTTAGCATATACACATGTACTTGATGTTCCTTTTACTTACCCGATGTTTGAAATTATCAAACATATTGAATCATGTGGAAGTGCAACCCCTATCTACATTCTGACATTGATCTTAGTCAGTTTGGTTTTCCTCAGTCGCCTACCCGGATTTAGCAATTAAGGCTCTTCGTATCAATGACGGGTCACAGAGGAAAGAAAGAGACACGTGGTGCATTCATTTCATCATTGGACTACTGAATTAATTTCTAGATTTGTATAGAAAGATGTTATTCTCTTGTGTCTTCCTAGTTAACCTAGTTAACAATTGTTAAATGACGTAATGTAGACAATCGGTAAGCTAATCTAACAATTGATAAGTTAATCCACAACAGCCGATAAGTTGATCTAACAATTCATAGGCCAATCCAGCATTCGGTAAAGTAACCGTAACAATTGATAAGTTAATCCACAACAATTGGTAAGTTAAACTAACAATTGATAAGTTAATCCTCAACATTGGTAAGGTAACCGAACATTTTAAAATTAACAATTTCTAAATTTACAAAAAAGTTGCAAAACTAAACAAAAGCAACAATAATTAACCCAAAAGTGTTACACTACGGTACCAATTGTTCAACTTTCCGAACACGTCTTTTATTGTCTTGTCAATTATAATCGGTGTATAAAATATCTAAAAATATGTATTTGCACATATTTGATTGAGTCATTCAATTTTAAATGATGTATTCCTAGTAGTGGATATATTTTCACTCCAGTCCGGTAATGCTGGTTGACACGTGTAAACTGTTAACCATCGCTGTCTAGGTTTATTGTACGTTGAATTTTATTTTATTCTCAGAGACCTCGTCTTATCAAATAAGACCATTTTTACCCGATCACTTGTTTCCATGACAATAATTATATTCAAACTAAATTATCTCTTAATGTTATATTCGACGTCATACTTTCAATGCATGTATCTTCATTTAGAAAGTCACCTTCTGTCTTTGTGTTGACTTCATTTACCCATCTTTGTCACATCGAACACCGTGATCAAAAGTATGAAAAAAAACTCGAACACAATTTCAATTATTTAAACAAATATGAAATTAATTTAATATCAACAGTGGCAATGATATCTAAACTCAGTTAGCATATGTTGACACCATGTGTAAGAAATAAATTAGAATGCTTGATAAATATTTGCAAACATATTATCGATGATTATCATGTCGATTTCCTCACGTGACTTCCGTTTTCAGTATCTACAGTATATGAATTCTGTTGGTTCAAATTCTCTCCGATACAAAAGAGAAATATTTCTTTTGATCCAAAATGCCATTTAGCTGTCATTTCTTAACTCGCTGATCTGTTGCCTAACACAATGGTAGATGGATAATTGAACCAAAAATACAATGTAGGTGATGAAGAAGTAGATTATATGGAAGCCAAATGTCTTTTTTTTCTATCAAACCACATAACAAAATGCATAAGTTTGTAAATGCATTCTCTCACTCTGAAATTAAGCTACTATTGTTCATACATTCAACATAGATGGTTTTAATGAAATGAATATTAATATAAATAATATTGTTCATCAGTGAAGAATGCTTCCATCTTTGTTGAATCAACAGTGTACATATCAGTCAAACTGTTCTCTGGTTTTAGTTAGCAGGGGTTTGTAACATCTGATTTGGAACGGAATTTTAAACCGGGAGAGCAATTCTTGCGAAATGATAGTCTCATACCAAAGGTAGAGTATACATTGTAGTAACATGATATAAAAATACTATTTCTTTTCATTTGCATTGTAGTATTAGATACATTGTAGTATACATACAATGTCGTGGTAGTAAGTAGTGTGTACGTACATTGTACATAAGTACACGTAACACACGTAAAATGAAACAAAAACATACATAAATATATCACTACAATGTATCTTACTACAATGTATACAAAACATAGTAAATTTTATATACATTATATATATATATATACAAATGAGACTTATTGTGAACACTATAGCCAAATGGAACACTGTTTGTACTAAATGACACGATTATCAACTAACAGAGATACGTGTAGCCTCTCATGCTATTTAAGGAAATGTAGCATTTGTAAACGTGTTGCATGAATAAATTGTGTTGACAACATTAAAGTTTTTCTCAGTAATGTAGGACTGGCGGCTACATCAACAGGTACACAACATCGTAAATAGAGAATTAAATAACATCAACAATGAATTTCATCTAAAATTTCCTTAATGAGCGATATTAATTCAATAAACGTTGTCCTCCCAGCTGGAAAGCGAATTCGGATGTGATCAATTCAGCGAATATCTAGTTCATTATATAACATACATGTATTGCACGCATAAAGAAATTTTTGTTTGTCAAATCAAAACAAAAATGAAAAATGTAACAATATCTGAATATCAGTGATACAACAGTCAATCTTTTAGCAAATAAGCATTGAAATCGGGACCTTCTGTAAAACTTTATATTCCTAGTCATCTTTCCTTTATCCTCTCAACAGCCCCCAAACTTCAGGCTCTCGGAATGTTACAACCTTACTCGGACATGAGGCGATTAAAGAGTTATTCCCCTTACAAAGAGTATAACCCAAACTGAGCAGGTCGTTCTGTCTATGTATCATATAGCAATGGTGAAAAATAACGGTTTACAACTTTTGTCAGATGGATTTTCGTATGATGCAGCACCCCTTTCTTAATTTTGAAAACCTTTTCGGGAAGTAATTCGAATAGTCATTTAATTCTAAACGTGAGACATGGTCGATCTATCAACGGATAGGAGTCAACATGTGAGATATTTAATGACAAAGTGTTGCGAGGACCATATTCCTCAGCTTGGTCAAAATAACCTGGATTACCTGTTTTAGTGATATTACTCTCTGCAATGTTTATTGTGAGTTTAGCAGGAAGTAAATATATAAGATAATCCAGTCTAGATTAAACGACATCACAGTGGCACAGTTTTTTTCCGGAAATGCATTCCCGCTTTTAGTGGCAAAATCACAGATCTCCTTAAGACTGACATTCAGAATACATATATATATCTTACACTCGCCTTTCACTCACATGTTTCAGCAATCGCTTCTTGTTTGAGTAACAACACTTTGGTACGGCAATGGGTGTCTTTTTCGCCGACTAACTAATATGTCAAATTGATAGGAGGTGCCAGACTTTAAGCCTGTGATTTCATAGGTCGTAACTCCTGTCTTAGTATTCCTATGTCTTCTACTAAATTTTCTACAAGTGATTTTTTCACTACTTTTTACAACCGACGTTTTACAAGAATCTGATCTATTTCGCCGCCGTTTCCGTTTGGTGCTTGCGGGTATTTCTTTCTTGTAAAGACAATACGTTTGTCTTTCTCCCGCCTCCAGCCACGCAATTGTCACATTGTTACACGTGGTCTGTTCATCGAACACCAGTACCCTGGTATCATTTGGTAGATTTGGATACTGTTGAAACACTTTTGTACTATTACTTATGATCACTCGTACATTCCGTTTTCCTTTTCGTGAATTAGTTATTTTCACAAGGTAATCATCTGGTTCCAAATCCCTTAAAGTGATCTTCTTAATATTCCTTATTCTCGTATTCACTATAGTTTTCCCTCTGCGCATTACTTGAAATTTGACCTTTCCTCTGCATGCATGTATGGCAAGAAACACTTTACTTGTAAACGAAGTCAGTTTAAACTTCAGAACATCCTTCTGTCTTGGTCGACTTAACGTTACTTTATTTACTTTGTTAAACTTTAGATGCTTGACTTTTTTCGCTCTCATTGTCTTCAGCTCTAAGCCAGTATACGCACTTGTGCGGTTTGTGTTATTATTGATGACGTAAACATCAATGAAATACTTTGTATTAGGCTTTGCCCGTGTATATATATAATTTGTGCGGCTTCCAATACACTTGTATATTATTTGTCCTCGCTTTGCAGCCGCCACAGGCCTCGCCTTTCTCTCCATCTCTCTAAATCGCCTTTTTTCCTTTGCGAATCCGAAACCGGCGCCCACAGGCGGTTTCATATAACTGTCTCCATATAAATGTGCATTTAGTGAACAGTGGGTAGGATAAGATCTGCCTCTACTGATTGCAACACAGTAAGTGATGATGTTGTCATAGGGCGTCTCCTCCGGACTTGCCTTCCACGACACAGATATTCGTCGGCGCTGTACCTCGGCTCCTTCTACTTTGTAGTCTTTGGGAAGCGCCGGGTAGGCAACAGAATTCAGTTTTTTTGTTGCAAAGAAATGAACCCTAGTATCGCTTGTTAGGGGCCTCAAAGATATCTTGAAGATCAACTTGCCACTCAATGTGAACGTGTGCTTCCCGGCACCCGTATGATTAAAATAAGGGCGCCCTCCTCGTTCTGAAACAAACAAAATTGTAAATATCAATCAAGTTTAAGATTAAGATCAAATACCATACAAAGCAATAGAATACTTCCAATGGAATAAAAATGATCTTTAAATTAGTACTTGTCTTCAATATCCTGATTCTATGACTAAACAGTAAACAGAACACATCACACAGTTGCCATAGCTCACATTTATATATACATATACACTTCATGAACGAAAAGTATTTTTAAAATTTCACCTGAAGAGTAACAGATAAACAGTATGTTGATATGAGATAATAAACATTTTCTGTTTCGTTCTTCATCGACTCAATTTTTTCTTTGCTATGAAATAATCTTATGCAAGTTCCTTAAGCCAACTGATTTTGTTCCGCCAAAAATGTTGACTAAACATTGTCGCATTGTTTCATGAACATAAATATGCAATATATGTGTATTTGTGTGTAGAACGCGGAACCACTAGACAAAAGACCATGAATGTGATGAATATTGATACGTTATCAGGCCGTATGTGAAGTTATCAGTAGCCACATGAAACACACTTATGTCCGGGATTACATACTGCTTTAACAAGCTTCTCACTGCCGTCTCGATTACATCGCTTCTGTTGGCAAGGCTAAAGTAATCGTTTTAATAGTGAAATTAACCCCCGATGTAAGTGCGATGATAATCCTACAAAACTCAGCCACGGTTTTAAAACTCTCTTTACACACCAAAGACATCGATAACCATCTCCGTATCCGAATGGCCTCAACACCCTCACCTTGCAATGTCTGCCTTTTGTTATTTCTTGCTATGAAAGCTAGAGCTGATATCGTCTTTAACTTTTCTGTTCAAACGAACCCTTTAACTATTCTGCTGCTAAGGACAGGTTAATCTCGTGTAAATTCTATATACGTTAGATGGAGGACAGTCTGATACGTACAAAAGGAAATGACTAAATGTTTGGCAACGTGTACGATTATCCGTTAATAGGTGAGTAAGATCGGCATTCAAAAATAATGCCGTTAAATAAGAGAATGTTTGTGTGTACTTATCTGATATAGAACACGCTACCATCAGGTCAGAACTGTTAACATTGCACTGTCTTAATGCTGCAGTTTCCTCTCAACAAACTAGTGAGGTACTGCCCTATATGTAGACATGATAGTAATGATGACTTCCGTGATGTGGCAGAAGTTCGCCCCAGATCATGACAACACAAGGCATGCTTTTAATCTTCAACATTGTTGAGATGTGAAACAAATGATTTTAACCACAACCTGCGTCTCTGTAGTTCATGTTTATAATAACTTTAAAATGTGTATTCACAAACACTGACAAAAAACACATGTGAGGAATAAAACGAATGCACTAGTCGAACGCACCGTCCTGGTACAGAAGTAATTTTTTCTCCCGTAAACAGCCATTCCCATACACAAGTTGAAGTCTAGGCACATTTCACTCAACTTATTTTTTCCTTTAGTTTTGAAAATAAAAGTTAAAAGCATACTGCTTTCTTGTTATTAAAACCATTTTATTAATTTAGTCATTCAAGTTTGGATCATAAATAGGATTTTTTCACTAGTGAAATGTCCTTTTTGAATAGTTTTGTTCTTTTTGTAAGCAATTAGTTGCAAAAAAAATCAAAGACCTTTATAACAGAGCATACATGCGATGTAAAAGTGAAATACCACAAGCCGAACACCAAGCACTGCGGATAAAAACCAACTCGTACTGTCTGACACGTGAAATTCTCTAACACGTATACTGACGGAGGCATTAGCCATATGCCTTTCACAGAAATGATTACTGAGGAACTAAACTAACTAATGCTAATAAATGGTCTATTTGGTTAGAAGCTATTTAGCACATGTATCAGATGTCCGTCCCTCGTTATAGTTTTGGGAAGACAGAAGAAGATGACATCATGGGCCCCTACTATCTCCTATGATCAATTTTTGGATAATTTGTTTTTACATTTCCCTATAATACGTAATTGAAAATTGAAGAAATCAACACTGAATATATTTCCTGGCATTGATATGCATCGGTATTGGACATGTGTTATGTATATTTGAGATACCTACCACTTTTGTTATATAAGTCATGTTAATTTTAAAGCGGATACACACGGGGTGACGCTGATACTTACCACTTTTGTTATATGTAGAGTAAGTCACGTTCCATTCTAAAGCGGATGCACACGGGGTGACGCTGATACTCACTGGTGTTTCATCGTCCGGTAGGAAAAATACGCTACAATGAAAATTAAAGGTAAATTCTTCATGTACACAAAGTAGCAAAACAAGTACTAAATCAAAATATAGAATACGAAACTGGAAACTCGCCGTTACTAACAACGAAACACCATCTACACTTGTCATAACTAACAACGAAACACCATCTACACTTGTCATAACTAACAACGAAACACCGTCTACACTTGTCATAACCAACAACGAAACACCATATACACTTGTCATAACCAACAATGAAACACCATCTACACTCGGCATAACCAACAACGAAACACCATCTACACTTGTCATAACCAACAACGAAACACCATCTTCACTCGGCATAACCAACAACGAAACACCATCTACACTTGTCATAACCAACAACGAAACACCGTCTACACTTGTCATAACCAACAACGAAACACCGTCTACACTTGTCATAACCAACAACGAAACACCATCTACACTTGTCATAACCAACAACGACACACCATCTACACTTGTCATAACTAACAACGAAACACCATCTACACTTGTCATAACCAACAACGAAACACCGTCTACACTTGTCATAACCAACAACGAAACACCATCTACACTTGTCATAACCAACAACGAAACACCATCTACACTTGTCATAACCAACAACGACACACCATCTACACTTGTCATAACCAACAACGACACACCATCTACACTTGTCATAACCAACAACGAAACACCATCTACACTTGTCATAACCAACAACGACACACCATCTACACTTGTCATAACTAACAAAGAAATATCATTTAACTTATTCCAACCAATAATGTCACACCTAAGCATACGTAACACCATCAATTTACCACCGCGAACACTCCCATTAAGCGTAAAGAGCAATAAAACACGTCTAAATTGTACAAAAAGATGACATGTTGACTTGGTTAGTAGGTGAAGAACATTAATAAGCAAAAGTGGAAAGTTGTACGTCTTAATGAATGAGCTAATAACCAACATTATGGTGTAATTAGATAAAATATCAGAACACAATTCAACCGAAATGTGAAAAACATCATCGTCCAATGTAAATCACCATAGAATATAATTAATTATTGTGTGATTCGGCGTGGTTGATTCTAGTGCACGGACACTACAATCTAGAAACTATGGGGAAATGGACAAGGACCAGTTAAAATAGAACATAAACCCCGCAGATCTCCTTTGTTTCAAGTGCCTTTGGGAAATACAGATAAAACTGTTTGTAAGAGTCGGGGTCTTCATTTCACAACCTGTCTCCGAAGTCAAGTAGCCATCAATGCTCTTTAGAATAAGTATCCACTGGTGCGATATGAAAGGCTTTGGGCGTGTAGTTTGTCTGTTCTGTACTACAAGGTTTGTACAATTTGGAGAGCATTTATCCCGTTCCAGACAAAACACCTTCTCTGGGCAGACTCGTAAAATTGCGCTTCAAACGAATGCATAGAATCTGACCCTTCTTACCATTGGCGATAGGCCATACTAAGTAGAGCTGATTGAGACTGTTACCGATCGGCGGACGTTTTATAGGTGTAATGATGATACATGAGTGTGCTAAACATTGACTAGATAGACTTGTTTTGGACCAACGTGCGTTTTCCTCATACACACCTTTACGCTTATAGGGTGAATTGACATTTGAATATTGTACCCGATACACGTCTGGATCCAACTGAAATTTCGATTCTTGTGAGTCATCCTTTACCAAATTTAAGTATGTTTGCTAGATGTACTGTTTCAAAGTATACTTGCACGCAATAACAATGTGATTGTGGTTGGTTTAAGATAACAATAACATGTTCACAATGAATATGTGTACAATCATAATGAAGTGTTGCAATTGGTATGCAAATTACAGTAGATATATAATAATTATAGGTGAAAAATCTTATACACTTGTTTAGAAATACTCTAAAAAAAAGTGACCTGTCGGATAAAAATAATGTTCTCACTATAATTGTAGCTATTACCTTATAATAATCACAGATGTGTATGTGGGTTGCTTAACACAACTTACAGACATTTCGACTCAACAAAGAGGTTCATGATGGCGAAACTATATCTATATTGTCATAATTGGACGGATCCAAATATCATGCTAGAATATGGTTCGTTAAACCAAGGGCAGGTGCATGAGGTGAGGCTAAGTATGAGTGGTCATTCATTAGGCTAAATAAAAACACTGAGGCTATGTATGGGTGACCAATCTTTGAAATGATCTTAGCACATGAGCCGAGGGTACGAAGGGGTGGGCATTCATGTTTAAGGTAAATGTTAGTGGTAATTCATTGAAGTAATATCGTAGACAAGAAGCGCTATGGTAGATACGGTTGGCCACTCAACGACGAGATTAGATCTGACCCTGACCATAATTCTGAATGACCAGAGAGATCGCAGTTCTGAACCTACGTCTGGGTGGCCATTCCGCACGTGGATCAACGCAATAAGGTCACTTTGGGAGTTATGCATGAAGCAGATTAGCAACGCAAAGGTGCAACACATCTCTTTATAGCTGAGAGGCTAACCAGGTGTACCCTAACATTACAGGGTCGCAGGGCGACAAACCCGCTACCGGAAATGAAGTAAACCACATGTCTGTAATTCGTCATGCGCCGTTACTAAGCGCGCTGTCGCATCTGTGTATGGAGGTAGGTGGATGCACACTACGCCTCATTTCGTTCACCACACGGACAGTGTGCATCTTGTTCTACATTCCACACTCACCTACACACTAATGTGCTACTTGGTGGTATTTATCGCTAAACCATGTAAAACACTTGCCCTATAATCGTAGATAGTTTAATCACAGAGATATAATCAAGGTCTGTTATATTCATTAATCACCGAATCCGAAAGTAATGCAGATGACTTTTATTTGCCGAAAGTAGAAATACGTTGTTAGGCAATGTATAACGATGAAATATCATTTGTGATTTTTATCTTGACATCTGAAAGATTGGCAAAAGAAAAAGAATACAATAAGAATTGAAAACAATATTTCCTTTCGGAAAGCAAGATTTTTCTATTATTTCATCCCCAGAAATCAATATGATTTCAATTGGCTACTAACTAGAAAGAATTGAGTCCAACTCCCTGAACGGAATCATATTGCAAGTATATTACAATATACTATTAGATCACTAAATATATTGATCTTGGTACCTTAGTAACAAAACCCCGGAAATGAAATAAATGGCCAGTTCAACTCAATAGAAGAAAGAACATTAATTAAATGTTACAGAAGGTTTTATGTAACTTAATGTTACATAACAAGGACCATATCTACTGTAATTTTTATAGTGTTTAAGCATCTTTGACTATGCTTTTTTAATTGCTTAAATTAATACTTATTTTGAAGGTCACTTTACATATATATTTGTAATCACATATTGCTTTTATTACTTCATTTAGAATTGCGAATTTGTTCTTTTATTTCCAAATGGAATACTTCACTGTAAATTGAATCGACATGTTAAGATCTTCAACTGTTTATACATTTTCAAAAAAATCATGCCATCTAGCAAATTTGGTAATGCGCAATAATCATATTTAAAAATGTACATTTGATTAACTCTAGATATGATTTTCCGAATGGTATCCTGGATGTTGGCGGATGTCTGTATGTAGGTAATCTATCAACAGTATAAGAACTAACAAGTTCCAAGTTATATATCGTTTTTCTTAATGTAAAGGGCAAATCGTGAAGCTCTTAACCACTATCGATAAAATTAACATTAAATGTTGGCCACCTGTAATTTTAATTAAACCGAAACAATAAACATTGCCCAGGTGGTACCACGTTTTATGTTTTGTTAGTTGATAGCGAATGCTGAACACAGATAAAAGTGGTGAAGCGACTACGTTCACCATGTAATGAACACGAATTGTATCTAGTTTACTGTCTGGTGTTGCGTTGTCTCTTAACAAGGTAGGTTGGTGGATGGTATGTAGCTTTTTTCATTATCCAGTAATAACGTCTATGTGATACTAACGAGTCGTCACCAGAGGGCGCTGTGTACTACAGGTCCAGTTTCAGAACAGACCGCCACCTGTCACGAGACCCAAGTACGATAGGTCTAAAGGTCCCCGGACAGCGCCATCTACCATGACCAATGTAGTTCTACAACACGCACTTTAGCATGTGGAACTGTGCACACTTACTGACCCAAACTAAATATACCTGAGAATGGTAGTCAGTCAGGAGTGTGTTGTTCGTGAGGAAAGGGCATACATTGTATACTCCAATGAAAAACAACAATATACATTTTCGCACTCAGACATATGTACATCCAATTTTAATCAGATCGCTCCCCAAGCACAGATCCGATGAGTTGTCTCGTCTACACTGGTATCGTCCACGCCATCCGCGGTCTACTGCTGACTAGGGTTCAGTCTACCTTGCTACAGGCTAGTCATCTAAGTTACCTTCAGGAGCAGAGAAGTTTACAATAAAATAGGGGCTCACGGAGCTCTCAGAGCAAGATATCTATATCATAAAAATCACCTTCAGGAGGAAATATCAGTACATGTAAGACTTACGGAGCTACCAGGACAAGCTACTCATCTAAGTCACTATATGTTAATTAAAAAGGTTTCTGACTATTTTTTAAAAATCGCCGTCATTTCAAAATCTCGCGAGAGTTGTCGTTCTATACCTACTGAAAATTTAACTCGAGATTGGTGGCCATTATCAAAAAGGGCTTGGAACTCTGGTTATCGGGAAAAAATGTGGATATATTTAACCAACACAGAAGTTAACATGCACAAGGCGCACATCTGTTACATTACCTATAAAAGGGTGATTCAAGGCCAGTGATCAACTGCTTTATCACATAAAAGTTCAACAATTTTTAACCTATCAATGTTGGTAGAGAGAATCCCTCGAGTCAGCATTATAAATTTGATGTGTGAACTTGTTTATTCGGGTACACAGACAGATGTTAATATTCATGAAGTATTGACAGAGAATAAACGTATGGCTATGCATGGATTTACCCA